TACCTTCTTATTTCCTTCCCATACTTCTCCGGCGTACTCTAGCGGCGGTACGATTACGCTCTTCACAACCGTCAATTTAATGCGTGTATCGAGGTGCCGGTTTGCGAGTATTGGGTGCAGCTTCCCTGCTCGTGCGTTGCCCTTTTCCGCCACCTTGGACATGTGTGCATTCCACGAGCGGTCTTTTGCGATCTCTACTCCGAGGTATGTGTACTGGTCCACTACTGCAATCTCCTCGATCCCCCACTTGCATCTATGTTCAGCTGGTTCCTCCTTGTTCTCGTTGCATACCATGACGGCACTCTTCTTAACGTTGGCAGACAATCTCCACTTATTAGTAAACTTCTTCGCCGCGTCAATTTGCAGTTGCAGTCCCTCAGGGGTGTCCGACATACCGACAAATCATCCGCAAACAGCATTCCTGAAAACGACGTTTCCGTGTCCCCTACTTTTACTCCCTTCCGGACTGCCTCTACGACTTCCAACAGATCGTTGATGAACACCTGGAACAATGTTGGGGGACAGCGTGCAACCTTGTGGGACCCCCTGCTCAATGTCGAAGAATTTAGACAGTTCTCCGTCTAACATGACCGCGCTTTTCGTACACTCTTGTCATCTTCAGCACTCTCCACATTTTCCCCTTGATCCCGTATTTGGACAGTTGTTTCCACAGCTCATTTCTCCATACGGTGTCACATGCCTTTGTTGCGTCCAGGGGGGGGGGGGGGGGATGACTGGCAGCGAAGTTTTTGCTCCAGGAACTGTTGTTATTTGTTGTCTACTCGCAATCATTGGTGGAATCCAGAACAAGGCGGGCAGGGAGGCCCAGCAAGGGTTGCCGCACATGTTGTCATTGTCAGGCGTGTGCGGGCTATGCGCACTTGCATATGGGGGACGTCGTGACGGCTGTCGAGATCCTAACGGTGGAAGTTTTGTTGCGGTCTTCCTCTGTCGGTGGAGACCAACAAACCCCAGTCCTTTCTGGCTGGCTACCGGAGGGGATCCAAGTGTCACCTACTCCCTCCGCCTGTGTGTTAGGTAGCGGCCGCGAGGCCAACAGGCAGGGTTTGTTACGTGGGGCGAACCTAGGGTTTTGAGGTTGAGTCTAAACCTTTCTCTTTTTTTTTTTGCTCCCGTAGCGTTGGATATTTGCACGCTCAAAATGCTGGAGGTCTTGTTCGCCCCCGGTTGACAGCGGGAGACGACGCAATCAGCGTATCCCGCGTCCCGATCATTTAGCACGAGACAATGATTTTCATCATGCCCCATTCCACATTTTGTTTCTTCGCCTCTGCCGCCGGTGCTGCTGTGGTTGTTGCTTCTCTTTGTATTGTCCCTAGGGCGGTCCATGTGTGAGGAGGGGAGCAAGAGGGGGGGAGGGAGCAACGCCATCCCCGTGTACACGGCCTCTCAAATCCGGGGCATCAGGGAGGCGTGCAGGGTACGCGACTCTTTTTTTTTTTCACAAACGGACGGTGTCGTAGTTTTTTTTCTAGATAGGCGGACGGTATGTTGGAACACGGCCCCATGTTCCTGGGTCGAGAAAGTGGCAACCTGGCGTGTGCTTGTATCTTGAATCCAATCGCCAGCGACAATTACGCCTGGCGTCACCAATCACATGACGGTACATCCGACGGTGCCCGCGAGCGGGGAAGATCCGTGAATAGCATCCGGTGCCGACCAGTTGCGCACTTGGCAAGGTTTTCTCCCGTGCAGCCGCGCTCAGTGGGAACGGTTTACGTCTATTATCCAACACTGACGTGTCTGCCAATCTCGGGGCTTTTGGTGTCAATGATAACTTCCCAACTCCCACGCGTCGCAACGGAGCCGGAGCACGGGGGGGAGGGCGGTGGAATGGCACGCACCAGTTTTGTTGTATTGCCGCTTGCCGGGTACACCGGTCTTGTGTTGGCGAGTGGTTTATAAAGGTCCGGCGAAGTTCAGTATTGCTGTTCAATGTTGCGCGAAGGGCGTCCCATCTGCAAGAAGTGGTGGCGATCGTAGATGGTCAAGGAGGCGGCACAAGCACATCGGTAGTCGTACTTTTTCGAGAGAGACCAACGGGGGTGTGGAGTAGTGTTGCGGTGTTGCGATACATGGCGTTGTGCTGCGGACATGCCCAAAATAGGCAAAAGAGTCCCCCCGAAAATTCGCGGGATGCGAAGGATGCCATCCCGACCACGGGCTTAACCCCAGGACCTTGCGAGGCCCGTTACACGGTTCTGCTGTTCGTCTTGAATGTGGGAACCGGACCGACATGTTGGCCCTGAACACGGTCGCGATGCTTTTTGGGCGGGTGTCTCACACATGTGTCTCGTTGACGTTTCAAATTGTGCCGCTTAGCCCGCCTCCCGCCCGCTTACACATCGCGCGCATTTATTGTTGTCCGGCAGATCGGGCGAGAGGTTTTGGATGCGGCCGGGAGGGCCGTTCGGGTTGGGGCTACCACTGACGAGATCGACCGGGTGGTGAGCTAAGCATATGCATGTAGCTCCTTGGGCTTTCTTTTCGGTTCGATAATAGCTATTCATCAGTACCCATGTAGCTGTATTGTATGAAAATCAGGAAGTGTTCGTGCCCCCCGTTGGCCCGACTCACACACCGTAAACGCCATCACCCCGATGCCTACACCAGACTGCACGATGCGTCGTTTTTTTGGGTGCAGCAGCTTGGTGGTCAGAGGGCCGAAAGAGAAAAAAGTTTGAGTCAAGACCTTTGTCGGTTACCGAGTGACACAGCAACGTGTAGCCCTTCCGGAAGGCCCCCGCCTTGTTGTACATTCAGACCAGAGTGCCGGCAGATGAGCGTCGGGTGCCGAGTACCCAATGAACGTATTTTTGCGCTTGTAGTTTGCTCCGCGGTTCAGCGGGTACTGTTCCTCCACGTACTCTCCCGCCTCCCCCCCCCCCCCCCCCC